AAATCAGTTTTAAAACATAATGGCAAGCTCTTATCTTTATAATAAAGCTAAATTCTTGCCCATAACATTAAATTATATGGTTTTATTTATTTGTATTGACATTGATGAAAATATTCCCTTAACTCTTTGCAAAAATTATTCTTCTGCCGCCCAATGAGGTAGATAGTAGGCACGTTGATAGTTAGTTCACAATAAAAAATCGGATCAAGTTGTTTTGGTCGCTTAACATAAAAGCCACATAGAGTCTTTGATTTGATTCCAGAAGTCGACTTAAGATAAGGCAGATATTTTAATTTTTAGCAAAGGCTAGGCATGTTTCTCGCCTTTTTTGAACACTCTCTAAATTTACTGTTTCCAAAACAGTATCTCATATTCCGTTATATCTACTCATAGTATTTCTTGTATTTTTAACGAAACTTATCAAATATCGAAACCCAATACCACCACACTTGAGGAAGAATAAAAAACGCATATTTTTTTAATTCATTCATAAAAATTTTATTATACCGTTTTTTAGTTTTTGTTTTTATTTTTAATTTTTTTTTGTGTGTTTTCTTTTTGAAATTCATTTGTTCGCTAACTGCTAAGTAATTTCAATATTTATATAATTTTTAGACTAAATCGGTAAGTACAATAACTACAGTTTCTAGTTTCTAGAGCTAAGCATACAAATTACCCGTTAATATGGTATAAATGTACATATACATTTATATTTATATGTCAATATGTATACATAAATAAGTTCGTAGTGTCGTTTCGTAAATAATAACTGGATGTTACAATAATTGCTAATGCTACTATTTACATATTTGCAAATCTGTGTGTGTAGTTGTGATTTTTAATATTATTTTTATATTGTTGTAATTACATATGTACATCTTTTAGCTGCTTGTGAAATGGCGAGTTGTGGGTGAGTTAATTAATTTTTTATACATACATACATATTGATTGCAGTGCGATATTTTTACAAAAAATATATTTTTTTTAAATTAAAAACTTTTATGACCCACACAGCTTATAATAAAACCAATGTTTTTTTTTTAATATTTTGTATTAATATTCTACACGGTGTAGACATATTTGTTTTTAATTTTTGTTTTTTGTATAAAATATGCGAAACAATAATTTTGGAATGCCTGAACTATTACAAAAAGAAACAAAAAAATATTTTAAAATATTTCCATAAATAAGAGGAACAGAAAGAAATAATGAAAAAATAATAATAAAACAAAATTTAAGTATAAAAAATAAAGAAAGTAAAGTTAAAAAATTTAAAAAAAAATAAAAATTAATACAAAAAAAATTTAAAAATTTAAAGTAAAACATACATATATATCAGAAAATAAGAAAAAAAAAATAATAAACAACATAATTGATAGGATTTAAAAATAAGCGAACAATATAAATATTTTGCATATCACTCTGTGTAGGCTGGTAGGCTGACATTTCTCAAAGCATTGTTTCACGTAAGTTTAAATTGCATTATAATATGCACTTACACCGGTATGTATATTTTTTTTTTTTTTGTAAAATAGATTGTTTTTAAATTTGCATTTAAAAGGAGTTTTTCAAAATTTGGAAAATTTTAGTTGCAATGCAAAATAACCCGAAATAAATTAAATTTCACTGAATAAAATGAATTTAAAAATTTGCTAAATAAAAACAACTAAAAAAGTGGCTATGTGGCGTTGCCGGCCAAATATATAAAGTATTTTATCAAATTCTATTATTTTATTATATTTTTTTTTTTTATAAAAATATGAGTTTCTTCTGCGCAGTAAATTCAATTGCTTAAATTTTTAAGCATTTTATTTGCTTGCCTTTTCATTACACTCTTTAACCAATGCTTTCTTAATTTAATTTTTTATATTTTTATACTTTTATTTTTTTAAGTTATTTATTATTTTCTATTTTTTTTTGCATAAAACTACTTTTCACAAATTCGTTAAAAACTAACGAGGAACCATTTTGCCTTCATTTCACTTCAATTGCGTTTCTTTTTACATTGCATTAATTGTTTACAAGTACATATGTACATACATATGCGTGTATAAATGTGTTTACACACGCGTTTCATAATCGGAGACATGCTGCTTAAGTGTACATTTTCGCTAAATACAACAAAAAGAAATGCAAATAAAATTTAAAAACATTTGACAAAATCGAGTTATGTGCTTTTAATAAATTATTTTCGAATTTGCTTGGGGGCGTAACGTTGTTGGGTTTGCGACAGCTATAAGTGTGCGCAATTGAAACCTTGAAATCAATTTTTAAATTTTTTAAAAACCTTTTTTTCATAAATCATAAACATATTTTTTATCTTTTTGAAATATATATTTTTTTTTAATTTTTTGGAAAATATTTTTTGTTTTAATATCGTTTGAAAACATGTAATTATTATTTTTAATTTATTATTTTATTAATATATCTATATTTTTTTAATGTCTAAAAAAAAATCTATTTTTCGCCAACAATTTTGAATTTGGTAATTTTTTCAATTTCAATTGCTCTGAAAATTATGATTTTTTTTCTTAGTTCTTTGAAAAAATATATATTTATTATTTTTCAATTTCTTTGCTTCTGAAAAGGAAAAAAAACGAAACCAGCAACGCTACTTCCCTCTTTAGCTTTGTGTATCGCGAAAATTTGCAGCCGCGCAACATAATTTGAGATCATCACTAGAAATTAGCAACTTTTCTTTTTTACAACTGTACTGTGGCGTCACTAGAACAGCAACTACTACGACGACAACAACAAAAATATGATTAATATAATATAAATAATAACACATGTTTGTTTTATTTTTGTTTCATTGACATATCATATTTTCCATCGTGCTTTTAATAAATATGTATTTCAGTTTAGGCGCTTTATAAGATTTACAATTTTCATTTTCGTCTCAATTTAACTCATAAGTAATTGTATAGTATGTTTATAAATATATAAATATATATTCTAATATATTCTTTGCTAGCAAGTTTTTCAGTGCTTTGGGTTTCTACACAATCGATTTTAGTTCACACAACGCTTGCAACAAATTTGTTGTAATTTACACTTTTTTGTCTCGTCTAAATTTTATTTTATTTATTTTTATTTTTCATACATTTTTCTGTACGTAATTCAAACATGTAATTTTCATATACAATATTTTGCGCTTAGAAATTAATAAATTCAATACATTGAATGTTTGTATGTATGTGTGCTTTCCAGTTCTGTTTGTGCTTTGTCTTTTGTGTTGCAAAATTTTGTTTGCTTGAAATAATTACAATTAAGCATTTTGTGTTTGTGTGTGTGTGTAACACGGAGAGAAATTTATTACCGTTAACAAATCGATATGCCAAAGTGTCAAAAGTAAATGCATTTTTTTAATTGATTTAGTTTTTTTTGGTTTCTTAATTTTTTAAAATTTCAATTGTTTCTTTACTCGCTTCCTAAGTAATATTTTAACTATATATGTGTATATGTATGAAATAAAAATAGCGTAGAAAATAAGTTTAAATGTTAGTTTAGGAATAAGTGGCATCACTAACAAAAATGCTTTTGTTAATAGAATAGTTTTGTCTTCACTTTATAAATTGTTTGTTTGTTTTGCGTGTAAACTAGTCACTTAGGCATAAAAATTAAACTAAAGGCGCATAAAAATATATAAATTTAAAAATATATGTTAACTAATTTAACTAGAGTGCGTTAGCGTGTGCGCGTGTGTGTGAATTTGTAAGGTATCCATTTTTTTTTTAATTATTAACTTTCTATAACTTTCTATTATTGTGAAAAAATATATACAAAAACTTTATAATTCAATGTACAGAATTATTTAATTAAAAACTAAATAAATAAAAAAAATTTTAAAATTATTAAAATAAAAAAAAATATACAAAATATATAAAAAAAAAATTGAAAAAAAAACAAAATTTAATAAAGCAAAAAAAAAAAAAAATAATATAATAATATTAATAAACATAAAAAATATTAAATTAAACAAAAATAGTTTGATATAGAAATTAATTAAAATAATCGAAACTTTAAAAAACCGAAAGAAATAATAACTCCAAATAATATATATAAATCAAAAAAGAAATAATAACATTAAAAACTTTAATTAAGAAAATATTGAGAGAAAAAATATTAAAAACATATGTAAATATAAAAAAATAAGTAAAAAAAAAAAGAAATAAAATATACATAAAACACAAAAAAAACACTATTTATACAAAAATGAGTTTCAAAAAAATTTAACAAAATTTAGAAAAAGTAAGGAATAAAAATATTACAAAAATTTTTTGTTACAAAAAAAATATTACAAAAATTTTCTGTTACAAAAAAAAATTGTTAAAAAAGGATTTTTTACAAAAAAGTATTTATAGAATTTTTAGAATAGCTAATTAAAAAAAATTATTTTTACAAAGCCAAAATTTTAATAACTATTAGTCAGTAAATTTTTAAAAATTATTGTTTTTAAATTAAATTCTTACAATTTTTAGTTACATGTACAGTGAATAAATATTTGAAAAACAAATTTTGTCAATATGTTTTTGAGATCAAAATTATATTTGTTTTTTAATTTTTAATCCCGAAAAGATATTAATCAAAAAATATAATTTTAGTTAAATTTAATTTTTGTTTTATATAAAATATTTTTTTTCCAAATTTTAAGCCTTACAAAAAAACACAAACAACGCACAAAAAAGGAAAATCGAGAATTTAGCTTGTTAAATAAACTAACACAAAGTCGAAAGTGTCTAAATCAAATTACATACTAATATATACAAGTCATTTAGGTTGTTTGATGCTTTCTCGTCGAATGGAATTCAAAATTTTTTCTGTGCACAAAAAGCTTGTACTAATTCTAATTTTTTTTTTTAATTTTAAAATTTAAACATTTACAAATAATGCGAAATACTCAGAAAATGGCAATTTTTTGTAAAATTTTTATATACAAAATATGTTTTTTTTTAATTTATAGTTTCGTTTTTGAAGCACAAACATTTGGATTTGTCTAAACGCATGCAACAGTTTAAAATGTCAAGTTTACAGGCATTTTTTTGTTTTTGTCTTTTTTTTTTTTACTTTTGCACAGCAGAGCGGCTTTGTCATTTAGGCTTTAACTTTAAATACTAGCATTACTTTAATTCAAATATCGTCACAGCAATCGGCGCGCTCCGCCACAAGGTAAGAAAAACTTATAAAAAAAAAAAAATAGAAAGAAAAAAATTACGAAATTTTGAGGTTAAGTGCGAAAATATGCACTGCCAATATGCAGTGTGTGCCCAAAGTAACTGCTTAAACTCAATGCGGCAGTTGTGCGTCTGCGTCATGCAAAAATACTCGTCGTTTGCTACTTGCGGAATGCGTCAAAATTCTATGCTTATCGCTTAATAAATATTACAATTTAGTAAATTAATTCGACAATTAAAAAATTTCATAACACTAAGGTCAATTTTTTTATAAGTACTACAAAGCACACGCATACTTGTTAAATTTTAATACATTTCGTTTTCAACTAAATTTCTAAATTATTTTGTCCGAATCTTTTTCGAATTCGTCTGCACGCCAGTCGCTTTCGTACGATCGCTCGCTCGTGCGCACAACTAAATTACTTAAGCCTAATTATTGTTAATTAATTATACGGCTTTTTACAATAAATTCCTTATCAACGTCAGTCCATTTCAATAGCGAAAATTTACAAGAAAAAATAACTATTTATAATTGAGAAGGTAGCAGCACATTTTCGCTCTAAAATTCTTGCATTTACACAGCAGAGAAAAATTTGCAAATCATAAAATAATTATAAAATTTAAAAAATATATATGTGTGTGTGTGTTTTTAAGAAATTTCGTAGCAAATATACAACAGCGCGTTAAGCGTGCCCCCACCAGCGCGCCAAAAACGTGCGCACACGCCTCATACCACGCCGCGCACGCACAACTTATTCGACGCCACAGCCAAAAACTGCTCACCTGCGCAATGTGCTCACATATGCGGCGTGCCACACATTACGGCGCGCGCCTGTTGCTGCTGTTGATGCGCAGCCGTCGCCGCGGCACTGCTCCCCGCAGACGCCGCCGCCGCTGAGGCAGCCATCATTTGGGACGCGCAACCGCCACTCACGCCGGCTGCCGCTAACGATGGCCACCGTTGACTGCAGTAAGCGCTTTCGCCCAGCACTGAGATGCGTTTTCCTTCGCCAGCGCCGTTGCCATGCACGGCATATTCTTTGGTTGCAACACCACCTACAGCGCCATTAGCGCCAACCACACCGCTCATGCCAGCACCAGCAGCGTTGGCAGCCACAGCAGCAGCGCTGACACCAGCTACGGCGCTTGCGGCACTATGTAACAATTGTGAGGCGCGATGCATTAGTGTGGGATCTGTGTTGAGTTGTTTCTGCGATTTGGCGCGTTGTAATGGTGCTATTTGACCGACACCGCAGAATTCTGAATTGGCATTGTTGTCTGCTGCGTAGTTGGCTAACGCGCTGCCATATAGCGAAGTGTTGAGGCAATCATCAGTGCTCGCCGATGCTGAAATGTTGTTTACTGATTTGTCCCAGGTATTCTTGATGATGTTCGGATTGGAGTTGTCGAAAGTCAGACCCGAGGACGAAGTGCGCTTTACGCCCAAACCAACACCGCCTACCACGCCGCTCATAACACCCATACCGCCACCAACATTCGCGTTGTGATGCAACGTCGCCACCGCATTTTGTTCGTTCTGCTTGCGTGCCTCGGCATCGTCCTTCTCCTGTGCGCGCTTACGCTTGCGCTTCATGCAGACCACTACGCACGCAGCGATCACCGCCACCACAGGCATAGCGACCGAGAGTATGGCAATGAGAAAGACCTGTCCACTTGTCAAACCGTCGCTGCGTGCCTGTGGCGTGGACTCGTATTGACGTGCGTTGTACGACGCGGACGCATAGGACTCCTCCTCGCATTGTTTGCCGTGGAAGTTGTTGGCGCAAACGCAATGGAAACTGTTGACGCGATTTACGCAGGTGCCACCGTTGCGACAGGGCGCCGACATGCATTCGTCAATGTCAATCGAACAATCTTTACCTGTGAAACCAGCGCGGCATGTGCATTTGTAATCGTTGTTCAGGTTCGTGCAGGTGCCGCCGTTGGCGCAAGGTTTGGTCAAACATAAATCCACTTTATCCGAGCATAGTGAACCCAAGTAGCCGGGTACGCATTGACAACGGAATTGATTGATCATATCAATGCAAGTGCCGCCGTTATGACAAGGGTTGCCCTGACAATCATCGATATTCTGCTCGCACATGTTGCCCGTAAAACCGCTGCGACACTGGCACTTGTGATTGCCGGACGAAGTCATGAAACAGATACCACTATTCTGGCAGGGATTCGGATTACAGTTGTCTACATGAAGTTCACAGATGCGTCCGCTGTAACCGCTCGGGCAGTCACATTGGAATCCTTTCGTGGTGTTGCGACAGCTGCCATGGCGACAGGGTTTGTCCAAACAAGTGATTACTTTCTCCTCGCACAATGGGCCGCCCCAATCCTTCAGACACTCACATTTGTAACCGCGATTTGAGGCTTCATCGTGACAGACACCGCCATTTTGACAGGGATTACCTTCCTTGCATGAGGTGATCTCATTCTGACATTCGGTCCCGGTGAAGTTCGGTGGGCATTTGCAGGTGTATAGATCCGTACCGGTATTAAAGCAGGTGCCGCCATTTTGACAAGGACGATGATTGGTGCAGTAGTTCAAGTCTTGATTGCAGAGCAGACCACCCCAGCCCTCCTTGCAGATGCATTTCCATGGTTTGTTGCAAGTTCCATGCACGCAACCCGGGTAAGGTTCGCATTCGTTGCAGAGCTGTCCCTTCCATCCTGTTTGACAACTGTAAAGAGAGAGACGTGTGCGTTCATTAGCTAAATGATTAATTATTAGTGGTATGTGCCTTAACTAAAGTTGAGCGAGTAAGAGTAATATTAATGGTTTGAGCTTTAGCTAAGGGCTTTTGTAGTGAAAGCGCAATGTGTGAAGCAACGGTGAAATAAATATTTGTGTCAATTAATTTCATATGCAAGCAGTATTGCGAACTAAAAACAAAAATAATTTTTTGGGTATTTAAAAAACCGATCGGCAATATATTTGAGGGGCGTTGCAGAGCACATAAAGTTTAAAAAGCAGTTATAATGCTTGAAGGGTTCGCTCAAGTGCTCCAATTTACGAGTTGCTTCTTTACGACATATTGTAGCATATACAAATTGGTGACCGGCTGGTGTGGAGCGCTGAGGGAATCCACATGGTAGACAAGCTGTTGGTTTGGCCGCGCGTATTTTAAAAATTCCTGCACGTATGCAACAAACATGTTGCTGCATTTAATTTTCATTCATGCGATGACAAACGCACACACGAAAATCAAAATTAAAAATAAACAGAAAAGGCGTTCCTCAAATGAGCGTTGAACGCGCAGGCGGCAAGTGATGATCGCTGGTTCATAGGGATTTGTTTGAACGACATGTTTGGTAGAAGATGGAGTACCAAGTATGAAGAAAAAAATGACAAATAAGAAATAAAATAAAAATTCGGACGCTGCGTTGACCCGCCTGAGGGCTTGCTTTTAATTTCGGACGAGAATTTTTTGATTTCGATTTATTTTGCTTTTCTAAATTCGTTTGGTATGGGTTTTGTAGTGCTCCGTCATTATTGTCATTATTAAATTAAATACTTTTTTTTTTAATTTTTTTATACAGCGCACATATCCTTTGTACGCGAGCGCGCGCGCTTTCACTATACATACATAACAGAATTGCGATCGCGAACTTTGCTGAAGGGAATCAACGCAAAGAGACAAGTGGTGGAACTTACTTGACGAAGCGTTGAGTCAGTAAGTAAGTTATTGCCTTAAAGTGGTAGCGAACGAGCGCGCTCGGGCACACAGGCGCGGAATGCATGCGTATTTGTACATTTGCCATGCATGTGGTTATTGGCCGTGAGAAATAATTTGCAAAAATGGTCACACACCATAAACACACAGAAAATGGATGGACGGATGGTTGGTTGGTTACTTGCTTTTGCTGGGACAAAGAGCGAAAGACAGATAAACAGACAAAACTACCAGCAAAGACATGTAAGAAATCGAAGCGTTGTACATAAAGTGGAATATATGAGTAGTGAAGATACAAAGCGCAAATAAAAAGTGTGCAACCTAACAAAACATATAGAGAACGGCACAGCGTACAGGCGCGCAGCCGACGCAAAACCTAAGCTCAGTTACGCTTAAAGACACGTAGACTAGCTACGCATACTCATATGTACAAATCACTTGCATACAATACTAGGCATTGTACCAAGTTGAGACGACCAAGTAGAGAAGATCGCCATGATCGCCGACTAACTGCAGTCCGAGAGTCACCTTTCGCCAAATGGTCTACTGCAAGTGGAGTTATTTACTTATAATATTTATAAGTGCATTTTACTTTTGCTTCGACTTCTTCTACATGTACGTTTTATTGCAGCCACCCGCCGCTATTGTTAGCTAGTTAAGTGTGTAGAGTCTGTGCAGTCAATATAACCGTCGCGTCGTCTTACGGCTTGCGCTCAATGGCTGGCAGTCAGTCAAAGAAATAGTCACTGCGTCAAAGTGTTTTTGTTGCGGCTGTCACTGCGCAGCCGAAACAATGACAACGACGAGTTAGCCGTCAAGTGCATTGGTCAAGCCAGTTACTGCGGCAACAAAGTCGCTCTGTTGTTGTCGTTCACGCAGATCTTCTTTGGAATTGTAAATATTAATGGTCGAGTTGCTTTATTTATTTTTGTGCTTCCACTCTTTTGTGTATTTATGTTAGTGTTATTGTTGCAATTTGATTTGTGACTGACAGACGTGCGCGCGTTTGTCATTCACTTTTGTTGGTAACTTGCGCTGTGTCGCGGAAATTGTGTCTGCATTGGCGCTTTCTGCGCGCTGTGAAGGAGAGCGATTGTTGAATGGTGCATCAACTGTTTTATTAAATGAGCAAAAGAAAATATATATTTTTGCATAGAAAGCTTATGCGCTTCACGCTAACAAAGCTTCATAAACACTTCACTGACCCACATGTGAGAAATTTGCAAAACGAGCTCAAACAATTATTGCTCACCTTTGTCCACATAAAAAAGTGAAATGTGAAGTGTTTTCGCGCGTCCTCTAAGACAACGTTTTTGAAAGCATTGCGAATACGCGTGGATTTGAAGGAATGTGGCGCAACAAATTGTAATTAAAAGCGCCAAACGCATACATATGTTTATGTAGTGTGACATACACCATACTTTCGTAGCGTAAACGCGACGCACATGCGCAAGTGCTCATTAAACTTCTTCAGTTATGCTACGAACAAAAGTTGACTATCACTTCATGCGCTTGTTGTTGTTGCAGTTGTTGGCTACACTCCAGTTATGATAGTCAGCTAACAATCACAGCGTACATGAAGTGCCACAAGCATAACAAGCTACTTCATTAAAATCAATTTTAATATCAAAAGTGCCAAACCGAAAGATCTTCAAAATTTATTATTTGTGTGAAGTTTTAAGGCGAACGATGAGGGGGGTCAATGTAAATGAAATCGTATATAATAGCCGCTGGCTCTGGTGCAAAAACATGTGTATGAGTCGGGGTTCAAGTTGAAACCGAAAGCGGCTATGCAAGCGCTACCACGAAATGTAAATCAGAATAAGACTCAATAAACAACATATTTTTATTTGTTAGAAACTGCGCGATTGGCAATGAGTTGGCAATCTTTGTGTCTACATACAGATCGTCTTCAGTTGCAAGCTGCAAGAGCCTGCCAGGTTTCGCATTTAACCGCCTGCGTTAGGGCGCTGAGTAAATCAATGAAAATGCAAATAAATCAGCAAGCGGTAGGCGCAAGCAACTGACAATTGCAAAAAGCAATACACAGTGCGCGAAGCAGACAGGCAGAAGATACAAGATGTATCACCTGTTTCGCAGGCAGATAATATTATGCAGCGAGGAGAAAATGCAAAAGTGTTGCGGCATGCAAATGAAAAGCGCTTACAGCAGCGGCAGCTGAAATACAAGTGGACAGTTCGGCTGTCATGCACTGCAGAGAATGAGTGAGCTTCCAGCACTGACTGACTGCCACATTGCCGCGTTCTGACTGTGGCAAGTGCAAGCGGACAGGCGCAAATTGGCATGACAAGCGGCTGAAATGGCGAACGCATGATTGCAAGCAGCAACTGCGTGGTGTTTGGCAAGTGCAGCAAGCGAATGGTTGGCTGTGAATAGTAGGGATCCTTGTGCTGGTGCCAGGCGCTCAGCTGAGACAAGAATATTACAATACAATGGTCATATTTTTAGCGAAGAAAATCGTGCATTTTAAGTATGGGTATTAAGGAATTACAAATAATCGTATGATGCAATGGAAAACAATTTTTGGCAACATTGTTAGATATATAATATTAAAAAAAAAATTATTAAAAACAAAAATTTATGAACAAAAATAAATAAACATAAAAAAAAAATAAAAAATAAGAATATAAAATAAAAAAAAAATAATATAAAATAAAAAAAAAATAATATAAAATAAAAAAAAATAATAAAATAGAATAAAAAATAAATAAATAAAAAATACCAAAAAAATTTATATAATAAAATATTTTAATTCAAAAAATGCTTAATTAAACATTTTTATAAATATCCAATTTTAAGTGTTATAAAAGAAGCAACGATTCTTTTTTACAATATGACGAGCGCGCTAATCACTTTAAATATCAGTATCATAATAACCAAATTTAAATGCAAATATTTATTAAATATGCAACAAATAATTACCAAAAATACTCAAATAAAGGCAAACGGTTAATAATGTTCGCGCTGATCGTATAAGACTATATACAAATATTTAACAGCAGGTTATTTGTAGTTGTGGCAGCGCTTCTTTTTTAAAATAAAATAAAATATTAATGTAAATGCTGTGTACGACTGCAGTAATAATAGCTAAATTTATTTTTTAGTGATCGCTCTGATCGTAATAAACACAGCTAATATTTTATGCCAAAACATTTGCTTGAGCAATAAGCTTATGGGTTATTACTATTATTATTATATGATATTAAATGCAAAGTAGACGGTTTTTGCTGTAAATGTAACTCGAAATAGTAGGACAAAGATCATGCCGACCGTGTAATGATCGGGAGTATTTATTTTAAATTTAAATCAGGTATGCATGAAAGTTTTTTATGACAAAGAGTAAAATGATTGTACAATAAATAAAAGTAAAATGCATAAATTATTGCACAATATTGCACGGCTTAAGTTTTTAGAGAAGATCGCATGCTGAATTTCTTCAAGATTATTTATTATTTGCAAATATTGGTCAGCAATAACTTTTTTAAATCTCAATAAAACGCCAGCAATTAAAATGCAATAAATTGAAATGCAAAGCGAGTTAATTGCGGCAGCGAAATCGATCACTTTTACTGCATTTTTGCGCTGAACTAGGTTCAAAAAGAAATCACTTCGTTGTGATACAATAAATTGTACAAACTTTAAATTTGTTAAATGAAATTACGAGTAAAAGCGTCACGAATTGAGCGCATACAAAATTTCATACATTTCTGCAAAATAAATATAGATGAAAACGTAGTTAATATGCCACATACCATACGTATAAAAGTGAGCAACCAACCTAAATCATAAATTATAGGCGAGGTTATTAGTAAGTGGCAGTGCCCTACCTAATAGCTGCAGTCATACGCGTAAATGGGAAGAAGGCGGCAAAGTAGAAGCAGCACACAAGCGTATGGTAAGCAAAATAACTTGCAACTACCTTGGCTAATAGAATTTTTATATGCTGAGAAAAAGGCCTTCACCTAAAAATCAATTACCAATAATTC